AGAGCATGCCAAGATGCTGCATTTGGCAGAGCTGTCCTGTCATCCTTCTTACCGTGACGTCCCACCAACCAGTAAGTGCAGCGTGCTAGTCACCCATATGTGTGCATTCACAGAGGCCACGAAAAAGAAAAAGAGGTTACTTACCTGTAACCATATTTCTTTGAGTGGTCGTCTGTGAATTCACACAACCCACCCATCCTTCCCCTCTATCTGTCACGGGTTAATTATGTAATTATTTAATTAATTCCTTCCTTCATACCCGGCAGATAAAATTAAGGAACTGGGGAAGATGGTGGGTGGGAGGAGCATATACCTCGTGGAGGATCACACTATAAAATTGTTACTTTAAGCTCTAGACTCTTCCGAGAGAGTCAGCGCAGGCACAGACAATACCCATATGTGTGAATTCACAGAGGACCACTCAAAGAACTATGGTTACAGGTAAGTAACCTCATTTTCTCCATCTTCCCTCTTTCACCCAGCCACCTTTCTCAAATCTTTATGTCCATCCCTTTCATGTGTGAATTTAGCAGTGGTTTACTGAAGACGGGAACAACTGAGCCCAACAAAACTAAACAGGAGAGGTGCTAAGGTGTTTGGAGAGGGGGGAAACTGACCGGCACAAACATAGCCTTAAGGAAACATAATAAGATGAAACACATTAGTAAATTGTGCACTGGAGCAAATCAAAAGAAAGCAAAACAAGCATACTGTAATCCCAACAGGAGTATTAAAAAAATCTTGCAGAATAAGCTTTTTTGTCCCACGTTCCCTCTGTTTACACTTTACGGACACCAAGATATGGTCCTGCTATCGTGGGTGCAAGGAAAGTTGAACAGATGCCCAACGTGGATGACTTCAACGTGCAAGAAAGGTCTCTGAAACCAAGAGTATAAGCAGCATTGTGCGATATACTTTTCAGTGGCTGAGGCAAGATGAAGCAAGGAGGATGAGTCAGTGTAAACTGAGTCAACCCAGTGTTACGTAAAGACCTTGGTTGCCTAGCTGTTTTTAATTCTGAAGTTTAATCCAGTGTTCTCTTCTGAATAGGAAATGTTTGATGTTATTCTGGATGAAAATCAGCTTGAAGATGCTTGTGAACACTTGGCAGAATACCTTGAGGCCTACTGGCGTGCCACACACACTACCAGCAGCACACCCATGACACCTTTGCTTGGAAGGAACTTAGGCTCTACTGCACTATCCCCTTACCCTACAGCAATCTCTGGATTACAGGTATGAGTCCTTGCCTTAGTCATGTGTGCATATCAGCTCCACGATGCAGATCGGAGGAAGTCTCTCTCCCTCTTTATTCATTCCAAACAGGCATAACACGGGATTCGCTGTGCACACAGAAATCTGAATATGCCACAGCAGCCCCATTTTCTCCAAAAAGGGAGTGCTTTTCCATTCATTAATGTATGTATATCATTCCCAGTATAGCTATATATTTGAAAGAAATTACCTCGACCTGTACCATAAAGGGCCACAGGTTTTTGAAAGGTGTACCTTTTGGTGTCTCTACTGGAAAATGTTGACAAATGTTTACTTCACTAGCAAGTTGTGGCAAAATGGAGCCAGTTATGGCATGTCCATCAGCTGCAGTTCAGTCAAATGCCTTGTCATCTCCAATTATCTGGGTCCAGTGATGTTTCTCCCCCATACACACCAATAAGTGCAGCCTTATTGTCTCAACACCTGAAAAGGTTCTGCTGAGCGTGGAAACCGTCTCGACTGAAAAGTGCCATGTGCAAGGGTTACGAAACTTTAGTGATTGTTCTGGTAGGGTTTGTTATCAAATATGAGTCATCACGATGGTACAACCAATAAATAGTATAGATGTGCATGTCATATGTGCATGTACGCAGGCAAATAATATCTAGCCAACTCACTTGCCCTTGTTTTTTTTATTGTTTTGTTTTAATACAGATGTAGTGTCTATAATGTGAATACTGCTATGTATAGACTGAAGGGAATGAAGCATAATCTCTTGCTTTTTGGAAAAAAAGAGCTCTGTAAATGTTCTTAGAAGACAAGTGTGCAAGAAATATACGACCCTAATTACCACAGTGGTTAAGCTTGCCAAATCTTTTACATGTTGACCAGCTCACAAGAAAAGTTGTACTACCATGCTAACCCCTCCCCCTTGCTCTAATTTGCTTTATTTATTTCCAGAAGTTGCACTTTGGCAAAAATTTGTTCATCTGTTTTGGTTTTTTTTTTTTAAATGATGAATAAAATATTATTCCCATGATAAAAGGATTCTGACCATTTTTTTCCCACAGGGATAGCTCAAAAACGGCTGGCCTTTGAAACTTCAAACGTGGCATGTAAATAGTCCTTAATGAGAAGTACGTGTTTTATTAAGTTTTGGGGGAAATGTCTTTTCAGTACAAGTTCTGTATGTCTGTAAGTGCAAGATCAAGAGTGCACAGAGATCAATTTCACAAAAGAGCTTGGCACGTTTGTGTGCTGCTTGATACGTGTACGCTTTCCACTGTATCTCAGCTGAAAAGCTAAGCAAATTACTAGCATCTCCAAAAATGCAGTCTGCTGATCAAAAACATTGCAGATGACCTTTTTCCTGAACACACTCCTACACTAATAAAGTGCTCTCTTGTTTTTTTTTTTCCTTCTTCACTGCATGTATGTAGTGAAGTATTTACATTTCAAATGTATGTTTGGTTTTGTTAGGCCAGCTTTGTCACATGGTATTGTTTCTGCTTAGTGACTGGTTGACTGTGCAAGCAGCAATTTAAGTTCTGTGGACCCATTCTTGGTTTATGTGGATTTTTTTTTAATTTCATGTACCAGCGTCTTTCTGTTGGCAAGCTCCTTCACTTGAACTTATGGGAAGCCAAAGGATGTGGGCAGAACAAATTCATGTAGGCAACTGTACATGGAAAAGCAGATTTCTCTCCCTGCCCATGTTTCCATTCGTTGCTGATCTGTCATTCCCACATGATGAATATCAGGTTTTGATCAGTTTACAAAAGCTGCTTTCATATAGCTTTATGAGAACTCAAGCAGGTATGTTTGGGATGGGGACTTCTTGCAGTAACCCATAACAGAATCCTGTTTTGTTTGTATTACTGGTAGGGGACATAGGTGAGTGACATGGGTCTCCCGTAGTGGTAAGAGCCCACTTTGGTTTGGATATTGGATCAGCTGTAGCCACTGTAAATGTTGAGACATCCTGGGGCCTTACTTGATAAAGTTGGGAGTAACCAACGATGTACAGTACATTAACCTTGTGCTTATGAATGGACGAGGCAGCCCAATATAAGTATGCATGTTTCTGACTGCTTTTACCGGCGTGTCATACAGCCTTAAAAACTTTCTCTAGTTTTCTGAAGAGGCTGATTATTGCTTCAGGGAAAGACATCTCAGCCTTTTATACTTATTGCTCATGTTAGTTAGATTCCCATGAAAGCACAGCTTGGAACTTGTTCACAGATGTTGTGGATCACTAAATTAACTGCTCTCAGCAAAATTCTAAACCATTCTGTTCAATGGTCTTCTTAATCATGTACCGATCTGTCAAGTGTCCCCAGTCTGAACCTACTGTTTGAAGTTTTCCCTTTGGTGTTATAGCAGTAGTCCTTGAAACTGACTATATCATTCTAAATTCACTTATAGCATATCCCTCTGCCAAAGGCCACTGCTGTAACTACAGTAATCACCTTTTAGGCACTGTTGTCTTGCTTAGCTATTATATCTGCGTTGATGAAACAGGGAAAGCAGGACATGGAGAGGTGGTACCAATGTCTTTTGAATATTGGCCCCTACTTCATGACTTCATGCTTCGTTTGAGGAGTTCAGAGATAATGAAATTATTAGACAATTTATCTCAGCGGTATAAAATTGTTAAAACACAATAAGGGGAAAGTTCAGTTATATTTTAGCAAATGCTGAACAAAAAAAGAAGACAACCAAAACATTTAAAATCATCTTTAAAATAATGGGAAAAAAAGAATGAATTTATACTGGCTACCAAAGGAAGATTATTTTTAGAAATTGCATTTGGAGGTTGTCCTATTTTAAACTTCCAAATGGACAAACTCCAACAGATGTCTTAAAACTCCGTATCAAGCACATATTCTCAGCCTGCATCCCAAATCTAAACTTAAGCATTTATTCTCCCTTCTAAGTGTTTTAAAATCATATAATATAAAGATACATCCGTTGTTCTCTCACATCATCTTTGAAAGCAGAACGAATTCCCAAGTACACTAAACGGCACTCAAATGTGTGTTTGTTTTTAAATGAATGGCAGAACCATACGGAAGCTGAAGGCCCTCAGAACAAGATTGCAACCAACTCAGAAGGACTAAAATGCATTGCTTGTCCTTTCCCCCCCCCTCTCTTTTTAATGCTTGAACTCTTTGCTGTTTCTAGAGCCAACGTATGAGGCATAACAACCATTCGACTGAGAACTCTCCAATTGAACGGCGGAGTCTGATGACCTCTGACGAAAACTACCACAACGAAAGGGCTCGGAAGAGCAGGAACCGCTTGTCTTCCAGTTCCCAACACAGCCGAGATCATTACCCCCTTGTGGAAGAAGAGTATGCCGACTCTTACCAGGACTCATACAAACCCCATAGAAACCGAGGGTCTCCTGGAGGATATAGCCATGATTCCCGACATAGGCTTTGAATACAGGAACCTGGGGGGGGGATCGTATTCCTTAGTTGCCAGATTGCCATAACATAGCTAGGCCAAACTAGTCATCTTGATTTGGCAGTTGTGGCATGGTTTTACTGTGCTTACAGGCTGCTGCCATTTAATGCTACAAAAGGGGCAATGCATAACAGCGCTTGCCCTTTATTTTTTAGGAATAAATTGGTTTGCCTGGTCACGTAGGTTGTGCTTTTCTGTCCAGTGTAGAAGTTTAGTTTGAAAACAGTCTCTCTCTTTTTTTTTCCTTCACTAGATATTAGACACATTGACTTGTAATTTAGGATACCTATTGAGGCGCATATAAAATGATTTCCTGCACTGGAAATTCCAAATGACCAGTTCCAGTTGGAACCAATTTATAAACCAATTCCTGTTGGAATTTGGGCGAAATTGACTGGAAAGTCAACTTGAGCATGTTGCAGTCAGTTTAAAATAAAATGAAATGAAGAATAAGAAAAATACAATACGATTATAGGCAAATATAAAAAAAAACTATAGTACTTGTTTACCAGAGATGAGTTTATATACAGATACAATTACGGTCACAATATATTATTTTAATGTATTTATTTCAGACTAACCAAATGTAAGCAGCAGTCATTGGTGCCAAAAAATGATGAATGAATGGAGCACTTTCCAGTTTAAATATCAATGAGATTTCCCCCACCCCACCCCCTCCACACACATATATGTTGCAGCAAAACTGTTGATGGTTTTCGCTTTTGCTTATGACCACAGAAAACTACTTCAGAAACTGAAAGTAAACTAAGAGCAAAGACAGAGGTAAACCTTCAAAATGGGATGGCAGTGAATACACATTCGGCATCCACAAGAGACACTAGTCTGTGCCTGTTCCCATCTTCAGAATGTGTCAAGGAAGTGTGTAGGATTGTGCCTGCAGTCCCCGCTCCCCAGATTTCATCAGTGTAAAAGGGAGAGGAGCTGCAATCCAACAACATCCGGAGGGCCATATGTGATCCACTCTGGTTGTATGTGCATTTACATCTGCACGAAGGCTCTTCTGTGTAATCAGGCACTTGATTGCACACACAGTGGTACATGTGCAAAGCCACTTCATACCTTCCATTGGATGTACAGAAACTGGAAGACCCTTCTATGGTTTCTGAAGGTGTGGAAGAGATTTTGTCTTTGTTCTAGCAGGGAGATTCCAGCAAAACTAGATTTGCAGAAGGTTGAGAATTTAATTTTATTTTTCTTTGACTACCAATGCTAAGCACTTCCGTAGAAGGCCCAAGGCTTCTGCCAATCTTAATTTTGTATTTTTTAAAAAAAAGAAATGTTGGCTTTGTGCTTATTAAAGAGAAAGGGGCAGAGGGCATGCATTCATACTAGGGCTTAATTCTGTGCATTAGTATCTCCAGTAGTAGTATTGTATAATCGTTGCTCCTACCAAAGAATTAAGAGCTTATTACATAGTAATTTATCAGAAAAAAATCATGGCAGCATGAATGTGTTGTGCAAGAAAAAAGTGCTGCTTGGAAGATTTGGCAGGGGAGATACTTCCAGTCAACTGAAGCACTACCGGACCAGAATCCAGTTGTTAAGTCTCAGCTAGAAGAGACCCAAGGAAACAAGAGAATTTAAATAAGGGCTGATTTACCACTCTGCAGTTGATCCAGAGTGGTAAATTACTCCCACTGGAATCAGCTGTTGGTTTTAGGCCCAGCAGTAGTGTTCTAGTGAGAATGCTCCCTCAATGTCTGAGTATTTGTTTTGCTGTGCATTTTAAAACTGTTCTCTTTATTGTTATCAAACACAATGCAGTGCTTTTCTAATTGAGGAGCTTTCCCTCTCATGCACCGTGAAATACTTAGTGCATTCCATCGAAAGTAGTGCCCACGAAAGGCCATGTCTTAACAGTTTTCCATCCTGCTCTAGAACTCCTTTGAGTTGCAGCACATATTGATGAATTTCCTCCTTAGGCAGGCAACCTCACTCGCTTCTGTGTGAAAAGCAGCTCCGTGCTTGCATAGCGGAAGATGAGATGTTGACTCTTCTTGTGTGCATAGAAAGGACTGCAGAAGCCAACGTAACCGGCCATAATGGCTGAGGCCAAGCTGAGCCTATGGCAAATATAAATCCCTCCCAGCATAGGGGTGGGAAATTATTTAGGACTGCCCCTGGCCCAGCAGAGTGGCTGTGACTCTGGGCTGAGTGTAGTTGGCATCCAGTTCATCTCAACTCCTCCCGCTTCCCCATCTCTTTGGCTCTTCTCCAGCAGATGTCAGTCAGAATACAAGCTGCACCAGCAGATCTGAGATGAGCTAGCAGAAGGGGTTCTGTTGGCACAAGGCCATGGGTGTCCTGTACAAGACCCATTCCAGAACTACTGCAGCCAGTGTATGTTTGAGTTTGGATTGCTTTTCCTGGTGGAATAATTTTCCAAGAACTTTCTTTACCATTAGGGATTTAATTCCTCAAGGACAATTAGGCATAAAACAAACTTGATTCCCATATGAGGTGAGAGTCTGGTTTAAGGACCATAATAGATAGATACAATAACATACTACCTAACTTTTTCTGCAATATACAGTGCCCCTGATCTGCGGCCTTGAGGTGCCTGCTTCACTCTGCCTAATAGTTGGCCAGGTTTTGGATTCAGATATGGTTGTCTTCTATGTTCCCATAAGTACTTGTGTCCTCTTATTTTATCATTATGGAGAAAGAACTATGAAATAATGCTTTTTAAAATAATAATGCAAGGCACTGTTAGTAAGTACCCTGCTGTAGAGACTATGTGTTGTGTGACATATCATCTTAATCAGCTAATGAACTCAACACACTAGGCTTTAACTTCTTTTAGAGAAGTTTTGTTTCTACAGCTTTTTTTCTGAAAAAGCAGTTGTCCTGAACACATTTATTAGGCAGTAAGCCCATGGAATACAATGGGACTGAATTATAATCAGGTGCCAATAAGTCAATTCGGTTTTATGGCAACCTTCTCTTGATTTTCCAGGTGTAAAGTACTGTATTAAGAAGTGCTTTACCAGTCCTTCTTTCTGTTGGCACTTTGGGAACATGCAGCTGGCCCAATTTGGCAAAGACCACAGGGCACATAATCCTATTAGCCACACACACTTAAAGTGATTTTGGCTGGCCCTTCCCATGAAGCACAGTAGGGAATTGAACTCCCAACCCCCAGGTGCTCCAGTCCACTGAACTACTGAATATACATGCATAGGATTGCACTGCGCTCTGCGTTTCTATAAAGAAAAGAAAACATACAACTTCCTAATGATGTATTGAATGTCGTGGACTTGGAATAGGGCAATGTTGTCCCATCACTACTTACATTACAGGCGCTGTCCAGTGTGTGCCTCTGCGATTTATGCTATCCTACTTGTACTGTATTGCACTCCCTATCGTAAATGATGGGCTACTAGTTTTTCTTTGTTACAAAATAGTCTGTTCTAGTGCTGAGAAAATGAGATCTGCAATACAACTGAAATGCTTTTGTTAGGAAAGATGTCTTGGTCCCCTGTAAGAAATGAGTAACTGTGCATTTACTGAAGAAGAAGATAGTTTGGAGAAGCCCTTGGGAAATACATGTGAACACTGCCTGTTGGAAGGGAACATAGATTTGTGTGGGTCCTGACTGTAGGAAAACTCTGTTTTCTCAGTCAAAGGACCCCCTTCAGCAGGCCTGCTGCTAGCCCAGGAGTTGTGCCTAACCCGTTTACTATAACATGATAGAATTGGTGGTTTCAGTACTTTGGGTATTTTGCTGCCTTATGTCTAATGAATGCTTTTCTTTTCATCTTCTAATTTATTTGTTTTTAAAATGGCACTTTTCTTGTAATCTGAATTACGTCTTAACATTAGCATGCCTTTTATCCAATATGAGTAAATTAAAGTTGTTGTTTTAAGCATTTATCAATGCAGACTACATTCTGGCATTTTTAAACAAGAAAATTTACATTAGCCCTTTCAATCCTCTGTACCCCTAACTAGAAAGAGGTTTCAGGAATAGCTGTGTTTGCACAAACATACGCTGAGATTTACATTACCTTGTCGCTTGCACACACAGTCCCTTCTCTGCTCTGTTCTCACAGTAAGCATCGAGTAAGCCCAGAAATCTCCAATTAGCCACAGCTTCCCGTCTCATGCAAACCAGAATAGTTCAGAAGAAGCCAGGCTCTTAAACCCAATGCTGGGGACAAAAGTCTTATGCATATCTCGGTTTATTAAGTCAATTTAAGATCATCCGAACAGGTCAATGTGTTATCATCATTTGGTCACATGCTAGTTGTGCTTAGCAAACTAAAAATAAGCATGGAACCTGGCCACCTTTTACATTTCAACTCTGCCTGTCAGCTTTTAAATCAGGGAAAACCTTGCAAGTCAAAAAAAAAATTAGCTGTCATATTGATCCCAACCTGCACAGAAACCAGCATAATGGCATTCCGGTACAGTGCTTGAAGGAGTTGGTTTTTGAACTAAAATTACCAGAATTGCCCAAAGCAGGGCTATGAAGATTGCTATCCATGCTTGATTGACACTTTGGTAACATGGAATCATTCCCCACAAATTGTACTTCTCTGTCCCATTAAGAAGAGCTTGGTAAGCTGCTGCACAAGTGTCAGCGTTCATTATATACTATGTCCAGAGAACCGTCACACTTCCCAAAAAGATTTCAATAAACCCAGTACTGTAGTTTAATAGAGCAGGTGCAGAGCTATGTAAGATGTAATCTGCCAATTTATTATTTTATTTTATTTTATTTGGCTAATCCTTTGCATTCTTTTAATGCTTTTCTCAGGGCAACACCCATCCCATATATAGAGCAGAGGAACAGAGAAGAAGAGTGGTCTAAATCTGGGTCACACTAGACCTTAAGAGGCTTGTGTATTACTTTATGGACTCATGTCTACCTCCCACAAGAGAATTTCCTGCAAATTAAGTCTGTGTTTACCTCCCAAAGACCAATCACAAAACAAAGCATGCTAAATGAAAGATATGTAGGTGTGGAAAATGATACGCTATAAAAACATGTATTTTACCACTTTGGCAAGTATTTCTTTTACCAATGGGCTGAACGTATTATCTGATTTGGCCACAAGACAAGTCTCCATGGAAATTCTTAGCAGGGCTGTTAATTTTCAACCTAATACTTTTTCCTATTCTTAGTTTTAAGACCTTGGTAGGTTCTATCAGAAATTTGCCCTAAGTTTTATCCTGGGCTGTGTTTGAGAACAATAATTCCATGGTGAGAGAGTCTAGAAACTCAGTGGATCTGACATTCATTGCAACCTAAAGGAAAAGGGCTACAGTGGGGTCTCTACTTAAGAACGTCCCTACTTAAGAACAATCCAACTTAAGAACAGCTCCATTTGCTAAATTTTGCTTCTACTTGAGAACAGAAATCAAAGATAAGAACAGGAAAGAAAACCTTTCCTGCTCTTTTTTTAACCTTAGGTCATCTTAGGTTAAAAAAAATTCTCCCCCTAGTGGTAGAGTACGTATTAACCAGCTTTGCATTAGTTCCTATGGGAACTAATGCTTCAATGTACGAACGCACCTCTACATAACAAAAAAAACAGCCAGAACGGATTAATTGGTTTTCAGTCGATTCCTATGGGAAATTTTGCTTCAACTTAAGAACGTTTCAACTTAAGAACACCCCTCCAAAACGGATTAAGTTCTTAAGTAGAGGTTCCACTGTAGTTTCTATGGACGGAAAAGAGCAGATACGGATTAAATGGCTTTCAATGCATTCCTATGGGAAATGCAGATTCAACATAAGAACTTTTCAACTTGAGAACCACCTTCCAATACGGATTAAGTTCTTAAGTAGAGACCCCACTGTACTAATGGTCCCTCTGAGGCTGCACACAGAATTCTTTATTTCCAAAAGGCAGTGATAAAAGGTGCTCAGAATCTCATGCTGTTCATACATATTTGAATACTTAAAAGTAAGGATTTAACACATTTTCCCATCCTTAACATTCCTCCCGTCACCAATCTCCCACCTTGGGACATCCTCTTGAAATTTCAAATGCACACAAGTTTGTTTTTAAAAACAAATTATTCCACAGAAGCAAGCTTTACCATGTAAGAGGAATGTGGACATAGAGTATACCAGTTTAACAACCCCACAGATTACCAGTAGGCACTGATTAGGTCCAGACCTTGGAAACTTGGAATATGAAAGTTCTATTTCACCATTACATTTAATACCCATTCACAGACAGCATGAATTTGTCTAATCTTTTTAAAGATTAGACGTCTAAGATAGTGGCTGTTGCCATCATTATCACCCCTACTGATCTCAGTATAGTTAATTCTGTAATGTAGTTATCTACTGTAACTTGAGACATAGCAGCTGAAATCCCGAAGCAAACTGCATCTAGAGTAGGCCTATTAAATCACTGAGGTTTAGTGACTCAATAGTTATGTAAGATCCATTGATTCAATGGATCTACTCTAGTTGTGACTTGCTACTAGATTTTAGCTAGTAGGTAAGACACGATTGAAGCTTCAGTGAGTTTGGCCTGAGTGACTCCTGCAATACTGGCACCTGACTAGCAGTGTGATCTGCTGTTTCTATTTAGATTTTATGCTGCAAGCCAGTAGAGCATATTAGTTTTAAGGGGTTTTTTCCCAATGTTTTGACCAGATGTACTAAATATGCATTTGCATGAAATAGAAGGCATTAGGAATAGTTTTCCTTACAAGTGTTACAAGTTCCCTTCATGTTCTCTTCACTATTGATTGCCATGAACAAATGTAAATCCATAAATCTAAAAGCTTTTTATCTTTATCCTCTGGTAGTATTATTGACCAGACTATTTAACTGCCTGGAGATTTGCATTTTATACTGCAACAGCACTAGGAAACAAGATTAAGTACATAACATTTCAGTAAGAAAACAATTCATCTTAAAGACTTAGAGAACTTTTATTTTTTCCAATCTTCTTTGGACATTTAATGAGGATGTTAACTGCCTGGCAAAATAAAAAACAAATTACCTTGCCCTAAAAATATAAGGGTGTTGGCATCAAGGGGAATTTCAGAAGTGAAATCAGAAGGTGATCTCTTGTCTCTAACTTATTATTGCTCTTTCTGTGATTGCTCTTCACCCCTCATCAGATGGTACAGGTAAAGGCAAAGGGAGCAGCCATGCACTACAGCCTTCTGATAGCTGTATAGGTCTTTAAAAATAAGCACAGGTATTTTAAATTGTGACCAGAAAGCAACAAAGAAATGCTTCAAGAAGTGTTGAAATCTTGCAAACAACTGGTCTAAATCAACAACTTACTGGGTATGTTTTCAACCAGCTACAGATGAGATAACCAGTAGTTATGCCAATTCATAGCTGAACTTCAAATTTGGTTTGAGGAAGTGCAGATCATTTCAAAAGTTATTTTATTTTTTATTTATTTATTGTCATTGTAAGTATATACACAGTATACCCATACAATGAAATTCACAGACACCCAGAGACCAGACACATGCACACACATAAAATTCCCCAAACACTCCCCACCCACTAAAAAATCCCCCAACACTCCCCACCCACTAAAAGTCCCCACTAAAAATACAAACATCTACACCGCAGGCCAAGTAACACAGTCCAACTAACTATTCACTACTGGTGGTCTTTAAGCTCATTACAGTATTAAGTTATCCTTTTCTGCATGGATGGGAAATGACCATGAACATTATGTGTAAATTATGGCATGTGATGAGCATACCGTAGACCAAGGCTCTCCAGATGTTCCTGAGCCACAGCTCCTACCAGTCTTCATCGCTGGCTGTGCTGCCCAGAGTTCAACAAAATATCTAGCAGGTCTTAAAATTCTAAAATTTAGCAAAGCCACAATGCTATAAATGTAGTTCTTGATAACATTGCTCTGCAGCAATTTTGTTGCCCAGTCCATAACCTAATACAGTACCAGCGTACTTGAAATAAAGCCAGTCTAAATATGTTGACCACAGTTTTAAAAGGCAGACACAAACAATGAAATTGGGCTTACATTCTGCTGAGTACAAATGGTCCTCCACCCCATGACCCCGGCCACAGGAGTCTCTTATGCTTTCTTAGTCAGAGTCATGATGTGTGAATCCTACTGATTTAGGACTGAGATTTTACAAAGCAAGCCTTTGCGTGTCTATTCGGAAGTAAATATCATTGAGTTAAATGTGGCTAACTTCCAGGTAAGTGTGCATAGGATCACAGCCTCCATAACTGTCAACTAAAAAGGTAGCTTAAATCCATTTACTTAATAGTTTTCTAGACTGGGCTATTAAAAGCAAATGGTACATAGTATTTATTAAATTGTTTAACAAACAGTTACTAAATTATGATATAGATGTCATGATACCTGCTCAATCCATTTGTTCTTGGCTTGACTATTGAACTGCATCCCGTATCTGTATAATAGTTATAAAAGCACCTTACCCTCAACTTATGTCCATAATGTATTCCATATGTTGACAACTGAACTGGAAGCCAACTTGAAAAGGGTAAGGTGTGTTCCAATACCTGTTAAATAATCAAGGTGGAATATAACAAATAAAATCATAAAACATTAGATCAAACTCAAATCATTATGAACCATTACGCTAGAAACAAACAGACAACAGAACTGCTAAAATTAAAGGCCGAGTTAATGAAATGTATTTTTACACTTTTGCTCAAAGCAGTAAGAGTGGAGACCATCTGTGATTTGGATGGGAGTACATTCCAGTTTGGAAGCGATGTAAGGAAATAACCTTCAGGCCTTTGTCAGTAACTATATCCTCCTCTAGATCTTAATAATCAGGCATTATCTTCAATGGACAAGCAGTCCCTTAGATACCCAAGCTCTAAGCCTTTTAGAGATTTAAAAGTTACAGTTGACATTTGAGTTGTCCCCAGAAGGGAACTAGCAACCA